GCTCAGAAGATCAGTGGCTACCTCTGAAAGTGGGTTCAGTGGTGTCTGAGTGCACGTGGTTACGGTTGTTGTAAGCACACTGGAGGTTCTGCTCTGAAGTGATGTTACAGTTGTGAGATCTGGTGTCGTTACGACTGTTGTTGGCTGTGCAGTCGCAGAAGTTACCATCCGGGTGGTGGTAATTACATGAGCAGTTGTTGGTGGTGGAAGGGTTGTAGCTTGTGTGGTTGGTGGGGCTGCAACAAACAGAAGATGAGTCTGTTACCAAGTGGAGACAGAGGAAAAGGAAAATAGACAAAAATATGCCCGGGATCCAGCCATCTCTTACCATTTCAGTTACACTGATCTCGTTCATTGAGCTAGACGTATCTGGTCATTGTTTTGGAGGTTTTTAATGTCTACTACAACTGGGTTTCATCACTCTTGTCTCTTCCAATACAGTCTTCCCACATTAGCTAGCATTATCTCTTAGATTTACAAATCTAATTAGATTAAACCTCTGCGTGGAACCTTTTACTGGATCTTTCTGCCCTTATGGCAAATAGTGCAGTACAAATCTCTCCTAGGCCGGCAAGCGTCACCACTTCTGAACCGGCATTTCCCAGCAATCTTGCTGCCACTCTCCTTTTCTCACTTTCCGCACCCTGCTGGCTTTTAGTTTTTGAGCACGTCAGTGAACTTCCAGTCACAGGAACTTTGTCCCTGCTGCTTTCTGTCCTTGCCATTCATTAGGGTGACTCCGACTTAAACCCTCGTCTCTGCCAAAAGGGTTGTAGCTTGTGTGGTCAGTGGAGCTGCAACAAAAGGAAGATTGATGCGGAGGCCACAAATAGTCTTCCTGGTTTTGTTTGTTCGTATTTTACTGACTGCATGTCATTAACTGCAAACTTATTTGCATGATAACTGTTATGTGTGAGTTTGTTGGTTTTTGAGGAGGTAGCTGTTTAAGATCTGCTTCTGCCACCAGACTCTCATCTCCAAGAGGGAAAAGCATGTGTCTATTTTGTTCTCTACCCCTGATGGCACAGAGTTAAGAACCTGGCTGCTGATTGAAAGATCGAGAGCTTGAACCTTCAGGCTACTTCATGGGAGAAAGATTTGACAGTCTGCTTCCGTTACCGATCACAGCCTTGGGAACATGGTGGGGCAGTTCTACTCTGTCCTATCGGGCCACTCGGGGACATAATTGACCGGATGGCAGTAGGCTGGCTTTCTGGTTCTATTTTGTCCTCTGTGACAAGCCCAGCCCCTAGCACAGCAGGTCACTGATGAGTAGGTGTTTCAGCAGCTGTCAAGTCGACTGCCCCATGGACACCCTGCGTACAACGAAACTCATGGACCTGGAGCTCGACAGGGCTGCCTGCCTTTTCCTGGTCTCACAAGTTTCCCGTCTTTGTCAGAATGAGTCTTACCGCTTTTCTATCACTCATGCTGGTGGAAATATTTGAGCTTTCCTTCTCTGACAGGTTTCGGCCTTACCGGCCTCTAGATTTCCCAGGTTTTACTGTGTAACAATAAAAAATGGCACCTTTCCCTGGCCACCTCCATGGTGGTTGGTAATTGGACACTGTTCTCTTTTGATCCATCTGCTGTGCACTGGCTATGATGCTGGAAGCTGTTGCCACTGATCATCAGTGACGATCTATGAGGGACAGCCTTCCCACTCCAGCCTGTCCACCACAGCTCAGGCTGCTAACGTTTGAACTACCGGGAGTATGGCTTCCAACATCATAGTACAGGCAAGCCATTGCATTCCAAGAAACTGATAGAGAGTAGCTGGCATACATTCATGGTTCAAAAACATATGACATGAATGAAGGAATCAATCAATGAATGCATCAAAAGTAACCCAAAATATGCATCATAGGGTGAGAATGTAGTCTCTTTCAGATATGAAAGACTTGTGCTAATACAACTCACCCTTTAAACATTTAACTATGGGTTCATTAGTCGGAGTTTATTCTACAGATCTAATCCTCTCTTATGTATGCCAAATTTACATTCACTTTAATGGATCCAAAAGGCACCATTTATTCCAAGTGAACTTAGAAATTGCCTCATAGATATTAAAGTTACTAAGTATTTTATAAAGTAAGAGCTAATTCTCATAGGCTTGAATAAAAAAGACTTGGGTTGGAGTCATTTAACTTCAATAAATATCATTTTACTCTTCTGAAAAATAGAAATCCTATCTCCTATTATACATAGATATTGAAAGAAAAAACATACATGAAGCTTCTTTAATACGAAGCATATAGGTCAATGGTTCTCAGATTTTAGGGTGCATTAGAGTTCCCTGGGAAACTCATCAAGAGTGCAGAGACCTGGAGCCTAGCTCCAGAGATGCCTATGTCATTAGGGTCCGTGCCCCAGAAGCCACGAGGTAATGTCAATGCAGGTGGCATGCAGAGCTCACTTCGAGAAGCAGTGCTCCAGAGAAGCGTTCAAAGTAATAGCTGTTGGCATTGGTGATCCCGTGGTAGAATTTTCGACATCCATCTGGTAGACCTGAGTTCAATTTCCAGCCACCACCCACCTGACGCCAGATGTTTTTATGTTGCTGGACAGGTTGTCCGATGGGTACGCTATCAGAGGCACGGTGCCGAGACGGGTAGCGTTTTATTTCATTGTGATCAGGTCACGACTAATAGGAACCGACTTGACAAAAGGCAGCAAATACAACACGCTAGCCTAATTCAATCGTAAGCGTCCCCCCGTGCAGCTTAAACCTTTAGGAATTTCTGCCATAATCAGAATGCCATCAAAAGCAGCTGATGGTAACAGAAATCAAGAAAGAGAAAGGGAGGGGGAGGGGAGGGGAGAAGCGAAGCGGAGAGAAGAGTTCTGAGACTGTAACTTATTTTCGGGAGTAGAAAGCCCGTCTTTCTTCCGAGAGCAGCGGGTGGGTTCGGAATCACTTTACCTCCAGGAAAGAACCCCTAAAAATGGCTTTGACCCTCTCAAAACCCCAAATCCCGATCTGTTCCCCACAGGTTACAGACGAATTACTGCCTTGTGGCCTGAAGATAGCCGAAGACACATTTTATTTCGCTCACATGGCAGTTTCTAAAGAGTTTTTGCAAGCTTTGCAAACATGTGAAAAATCAGTGTAGTGCATGCAAAAATTAGAAAATATGAAAAACAAAACAAAACCTGCGCCGAATTGCTACCAGGCAACTAGCCTCTAGATAAATTGCAGTGCCATCTTCAAATGGACCCTGCAATTGCCTTGGCCCCCCCC